ATTCACTAATCCTTTGAAACACGTTCACCACATGTGTAGTACGTATAATTAAATGTTTGTGTGTGTGTGTTTGCAAATCTTGAGATTTCCTATCCAATTGAAAGCACAAGAGGGTGCAATTGTTGTCCATGTCGACATCATTATGACAACAAAGCCGTTCTTTCCGAGCATCTGAAATTCCTCTTGTGCTCTTGAAAGGCAAACACACGGAGTGGGTCGGCGAATACAAAAGCTAGAGCTTTAGCAAATTTGGCTTATCGGTTCACAAGTGCTACCTATAGGTAGGTATGATCCTCTACCTACCTCTATACGTATTCACGCTACTATTGTTGGCGAATTCGTTTCGATATTTTTTATTGATGAGACTACCGTTTCATTTTATGTAGGCACTTATTAGGTTTAGATTTAAGGCAGATGATCCGGTATATGCGTCTGCAGATAGTTACCATTAGCTCGCGTTGATATCGTAAATATAAAAAAATAAATGATATCGACTACCACATAAAACTAATTTTTTCTATCTCTCGGAAACAGATTTTTTTCTGGAATGAAGGTACCCTAAGGTATATCCTTCTCTGTATCCCTAATATTGTGTGTGCAAAACTTTATAATGATCGATAGAGTAGTTGGGGGGTGAAATCGAACACATAAAACTTATTTTTCTATCCCTTAGGAACAGAATTTTTCTGGATAGAAGGTACCCTAAGGTATCCTTCTCTGTATCCCTGATATTGTGTGTGCAAAACTTTATAATGATCGATAGAGTAGTTGGGGGGTGAAATCGAACACATAAAACTTATTTTTCTATCCCTTAGGAACAGAATTTTTGTGGATAGAAGGTACCCTAAGGTATCCTTCTCTGTATCCCTTATATTGTGTATGCAAAATTTGATAATGATCGGTAGAGTAGTTGGGGTGTGAAATCGAACACATAAAACTAGTTTTTCTATTCTTCGGTAACAGAAATATTTTTCTGGATAAAAGGTACCCTAAGGTATCCTTCTCTGTATTGGACAGAAAAACTGAAGGTGAATTTTTCACGTACTATAAGGAATTTTTTGATGCTGAAGTAATATTTCATCAATACTTCAGAATGCCTAAATATCAATTAATGGTTTCTTTTAATAACACCCCTCTAATGAAATGATTACCAACGAACTGAATAATGTCTTATTAACATTAACGACTGTCACAAACACGCGCTGTCACGTCAAGGAATCCTCGCCTGGAAATGGATTGAGTGAATACATAATGCTTATTAAATAACGTTTCCTTGTAGATACCTAACTGCAGGTACTGGAAATAATAATGACATAAACTCAACAATTTTATCAGTTATAATATACGACAGATGCCTACAATATCTACATTTGAGCCTAATGGGGATCTCAAAGATCTAGGCAGACGAAGATTAGGAGCTCATCTAGAAACTTAAAAAATTGCAGGAAAACATTCATTTATATTTAATTACCAAAGAATCTGGGCTGCATATTGTTTAAAAACAAGACCGTGGTGCGTGGTGTTCTGCCTTGCAAAAAGATATTTTTTATTTTTTTCGACCTAACAATTAACAGTTTGAGGGGCTAAAAAGTGTCTTACGGGAAAGAAGTTGCAAATTATATCATAAAGTTAAACAAAAAATACAATAAAAACAATTTACCCATTTATAATATATACAATGAAAAAAATCGTCGTTTTCAGAACGAATATAATCAATGTATCATAATATGCTTAATTAGAAACATACAGTATATCGTTAAAGAACAAGTTAATAAGAAATACTCTTTGGTAAAAGTGACGATAAATTAATACGACCGATTTTATACGCTATTTGACATTTAACTTCATTCGTTTATTAAAACCACTTGTTGATATGAAACCTGGCGAAGTAAGGATATAATTACTACAGACATTTTAATTAACACATATATAAGTACAAAAGTGTATATACGACTGTCATTCTTTTAACGGACACTTGATAATTGTTCTTATTATAAATCGTACGTAAATTGCAATGTAATCTAAAATAGTGTTCCGATGAAATTTAACCGACAAATTCTATTTATTCGTCTTTTTCTCTACTTCATTAAGCACCTAATAAATGGCTGCTTGCGGCATTTATACATTTATTTCTAATTACTGTATCTACACGTATTAATTTAAAATTAATACCCATTTTCATTATTTATATGTTGGAGCTTTTACATAATAATTAACTGCATGCGTGTAAAACCGTATCAAAAGCCGTTTTAAAATATAAAACAAGAATATTTCAATTAAAACGTTATTAACGGTACTGCTGATACGTATAAGTTGTTTAAGATTTATTCAGAAGGATTAATTTATTTTATTTGCACAAACTCACACGTTGAAGTTTTAATTATCTGAAGAAACTATATTCGCTAAAATTGAGAGATACGGCAATTGGTGTAGACTTCATTGTCTCTGAAGAAAGTTTATTTTACAACCAAACACACAAATCAGCGGTAAGAGAAGCGTGTGGAATAAAAAAGTTTGGTTTTCATGTAATTGCTGCATATTATTTTACTACTAGTACTACTGATGTTACATATTCATGAAACATTTTGACATTTAATAGTGGTTAATATCAAATATTAATGTGAAAATTCATTTTTCAATTTTTTACCCTTTGTAAATTACCTCAGGTTAATAAGAAAAAATTTGTAGCTATTGTTTCACCTTCGCCGGAAATCGAACCCGGGACCTTTAGCGTTACGCACCAATGTTCTGACGATTAAGCTACGAGAGGTGACAACAGCAACAACGACAAACCGTACTTATTAAGTCACAGATGTGTCGCACTGAAGTAATTATATTAATACTATATATATATGAAACACTGACATTTAATAGTGATTAATATCAAATATTAATGTGAAAATACATTTCCATTTTTTTTTTAAAGACGTTACATCCAGTTGTTAAACAAATCATCAACACGAACGTATTAGGATGATGTTATATAAGGTATTTCCTTCTTCCTGCTTGACTATTTATTAGGAGACAGCACTAACAAAATTATAAGACAGAAACTTCAGAAAAATTTACAGCCTCTAGCTAAAATAATAATTAAAAAAAAAAACGTTTTTTTCGGGCTGCTGGCCATTTTAATTTTTATCAGATTTTTCGCTGTGTGCAACCCCCCGACGTCCTCAATTTTGCCGCCCTTCATTTTTGTTACTCTATGCATTAGTCCGGCTTGCTTTACATCGGGCCCTGTATGGGGGTAGTTTATTATTATTGCGCGTAGTATAAATTTATGGCTTTTGAAGATGTTTCTACAATTTAGTTTTTCTCCCCTATATAACCAAAACAATAGAGTATCTGTTATGTACCTACTACATATATTGTTTTTGAGGATAATAGATAAAAGAGGATTAACAATGTCCTTTTTTTGCGTTTTTGGTCGAAGGATCGCATTTGCAGCCTATTATGATTCAATCTATTACTTATTATTTAAAACTTTAGCTTTGCTTATTGTTTTCTCAAAAAGAGTGCTATAAAGAGACCGGCGTTCGTGCCGTTCCACCGGCATTTTGTTTCGAGAATGGCTGACATATTAAAAACGTTAAGGATTCACCTTGGCAACCGACCGACGACACGAAAGACGACGCTATATTATTATTACCGAGGATCCAGTCAACCAACTGAATGCTGATGGTTTGTACCGCGTCGCGCCATCCCGTCCGTTTACCTGGAATACGTGACTCCGTCGCGCGTCTAGTACAAACAAGAGGAGTTCATGTTCCTGGTCTTGTCGTTGATACTTCAGAGAGGCACACAGTCTTGTGCACGTTACGTAAACAGAAACAAATCTCATATTAGACAATGAATAGATCGCAAACAAGGGGGCTGCAGGAGGCTCTTCGGCTACAACCGGATGTCAATGCCTGTTTGCTATATTATATGATGTAGTAAGATGATACCATCAATTTGTAAGCGCCTTCTCCTCCAGGTGCATCTTTACCTGAAGTTTTAGGCAGTTAATTAAAGGAAAGTTAATGTAATCGTTTTGATGAAACGAATTTGGTAAACGTTTAAGGAATGACGACGTTTGGAGTTGAGTATGTACTTCAAATTGAAACATCAGTTGACGAAATGTTAACTGATGCTGATCCATTACTGATCGACATATTTTCTAATTTAATTTTTTGAAATAACAAACTGCTAGAGAAGGATTACATGTTTTGAAAAAAGTTATGGATTGAAACATATCTCTTCTATCCTACCACCTACTGAGTTGATGTCGTGGGCAATGACGTAATATATGAGTATATATCTCGCGCAGGAAATCGTTTAATACCCTCAAAAATTAGTATTGTTTCTCCATAAAACTTCCCATTTATCTTTTTAGAGTTTTAATTTTATGTCACGTCGCTATCTTTTTTAAATGCAAACGTAGGTAGCAATCCCATTTCATCCTTGAGAGTTAATTTTTGAAAACTGCCTAAATAGCCAGGTTTCTCTCATATGTTTACAGATGTTAATTGAGACTAGGCACGAATATATACAGAAAATATTAGGGAAGAGATTATAGGATTTTTGGATTGAAGCATATAACCTTGATGCTTACTTCTCCCATATTCAAAAATTTTTATGTTTAAAACTGTTGAAGTCGAAAATTTTTATTGTATAGAAATATGGATCTTATTTACCGATTAGTCAAATAAAGCGTATCTAGCTAAATTTGCTAAATTTTCCTTGACTTGGAGCTAATGGTCATACCCATAGTAGTAGTAGAGATAAACAATTTACTAAATGTATAAGTATCGTCAGTTTGGGTTTACTCTAAAAAAGCTTCTTAATTTTGGCGAAATAATTGGTTTAGTTTGAACCAGAAGAAGTTATTGTCTGATACAACAAAAGACACTTAGATACTTTCAAAGCTTATTAATAAAAATGGATTTTGAAGTAGCACAACAGAGACATCAAGATACCAATGATTATAAAAAAAATGGAGAATAAAAAGAGTGACTTACGCTTGGGATGTTGTCGTTATTGCAGACTCCTTCCGACAGGAGCCGGTCCCTTATTTCCCACGCAAAAATCGACGGACACTCCCGTTTGTACTCGGCAATTTTGTTGACGACGGGCGCGGTAGCAACTCGCGGTTTGGATCCGCCGATCGCTCTCGGTTTAATGGATCCGGTCTCGTAATACCTGGAACAATATCGCATCAGCTGAGCAAGGTCACCTGCTGAAATCAACACTCTAACCATTCATACCTTCCTAAGATCTTTGAGACACAGCCATTCGAGACCTGCAGGATGCGCGAAATGTCGCAGGGACGCGCGCCCGAATGAGCCAACTCGACGATCTTCTGGCGCGTGGAGTCCGGCAAAGGACGGCCGTTCACATAGACGCCCCCCAGCTGGTTGATGCCACTGTGACCAGCCGCGTGAGTGAAAATCGTACTCTGGCCCATCGAAGCATGGTGCATAAGGTCTTCTTCTGAAACAAAACGTACGCAATTTTTCAGTACAACTACTAGACGATTTTCAACACCTGCTCATTAAAAATATAATAGGGTATTCGGTTGACAGTTGACTTGCCTAACGCAATACACCTGTCGTATTTTTGATTCGTGATTATTTTATCGTTTTATTTCTTAATTATTTCCCACTCTATAGCCTTATATCTATTTTGCCCTTCTTCGACTGTCCTGTTTTTGTATTACAATACAATCTCATTTGTTAACCAGAGTTTCCTGTAGCTGCTGACTTTAGGTACGTTTTAAGCAGTTCCATTCTGTCTCTATGTCCCTGTCATTCGTTTCTCCCGCCACCTTTAGATTTCGTTTGTCCTTGTAGCTAGCCTATGACGCTTTTCAATACATTTTAGCTTTTGTAAGTCAAGACGTCTTCTACCTCCCCTCTTTCTCAGAATTTTGAATTTAAGATTGACCTTTATAACTGCTGAGTTATGATCGCTACCAATATCTGCTCCTGGATAACTCCTACAGTCCTTCACTTGATTTTTAAATCTTTACCTATAACAAGTATGTAATCTAACTGATATCACCTGGCATCTTCCACGTATAGCGCCTCCTAACGTGATGGTTGAATAAAGTATTCGCGTCGGTTAAGTTATGTTTATCGCAAAATTCTATCAGTCTATCTCCCCTATCATTTCTATTGCATTTTATAAGTATGGGGTACTTATAAATTCTAGTCGGGTAGGTGACGGTTTTTCCATAATCGCAACGCGCTGTGACTAAAGCTTTTGGGTAGTGGTCGATTTCAACATCTGACCAGAAACTACAATTGTATTTAAATAGATGGCGACCTTACATGAACTTACACCTAAATAATCATCATATTAGAATCTGCTCATTTTACTCAGAATATGTCGCGATCTGCTAATTAATTTCGGCATTCGTCCGAATTCAGCATCTGAACCTAGCATATCTATGTAAATAAACTATCATTTTGTTGGAAAGATATCAGATGAAAAGAAAAATGCCCACATGTGTATTATGTTGCTCTTTACATGAACGTAGAAATTAAATAAAACTGTTTGACACGAGTCTATGTGAATACGTGTCAGTTAAGTAATTGATGAAATACTTGAAGGTTTTATATAATGGAAAACCACAATCCTGTTAGCGAACAGTGCATTTGTACATAACGATCTTTTCGTAGAATAATATAGTCCACGTTTTATTTAAAGCCCTATTACTCTGTATAAATTAACCGTTAGGACAAGGACGGAGTAGGTAAATTTTAACATGAAAAAAAAATTATGAGAAAGTATCTGTACTTCTCTCAAAAGTGTATGTTTCCAAAATCAACACCATTACTATCGCTGTTTTAATTTTGCATGTAGATAGGTACTCAAAAATAAGGAAAAAAATAATAATTTATAAACAATTTCCTCTTTTTTTTACTGCAAAATTTGAAGTGTGTCCATTGAAACATTTTGAAATTCCTAGTGATTAATTATTAAGTATTAATTTGGGAAGGTTAGAAATGAAGAGGAATAGGAGAGCAGAGGACTCCATGGAAGTAAATAAGGAATAGGCGAGATAGGTTAGTAGGACACCTTCTCAGGCATGAAAAGATTTAGATTACTGTTCGCAAATAGTTAAGGATCTGGGTTGTTCTAAGTTGAAAGAGTGGACGTGGGTGTCCAACCAGTCTCAAAACTGACGACCTTATGATGATGATGAATTTGAAAATTCATTTTCAGTTTTTATTCACTATAAGTCCAGTAGATAAAAATTGAAAATAATTTTTAAATTAATATGTAGTAGCTTCATTTTTATAACATCATCTTCTTAGTAATAATTTTCCTTCGGTACCATACGCATGGGAAGCCCTAAAATCACACCTTAAGTTTTTGGAACAGCTGCCTGGCTATTGTCATCCCCGTTTAACACGAATATAATTTTTTTTTTAATAACCTCCTTAAACTTGCTTGTGTTGTTGCAGTTTAATGAAAGGTACACCCTGATAGCCCTTGAAACTTTTTCGATGCTTAATAATACCTATAAGAGCCCACAGGAACGACCTTCGTATATAAACGTGGCTTCTTTCGTATATGAATTTAAGTGGCTTCGGGTGGATTTGGAGAATTAGACAGCGGTTTATATACAAGAGGATCAAGATGGATAAAAGGGGTTTAAGTGCGTTATAATCTGACAGCACATTAGTGAATAGTGCACCGCGCCCCCTGGGGGAAACGAACCTCGACGAGGGTGTACTTACCGACTGCTGCAGAACGCAATAAGTTATTGTTAACAACTTGCTACACCATCCAACAATGGAATATAAACTTCCGACAAGAAATAAATGTAAGTATAACGGCTTAAAAAAGGCACTTCAAGAAGATGGGATGGGCAAAAAACGAACCCATATTTACAAAAGATATGGGTAAAGAGAACTTTTAAGCCATACGAAAGAGGGAAATATAGAATTCCTATCGTACAAGTTACGATGATTAATTCCCTAGTGATATTTGGTAGGTAAATGGATGTACCTACTTATAGGTAGGTATATAGTAAAATGCTTTCTGCTCATTGAGCCCTTCTCAAGGTGCAATACTTAATAAATGAAAGTAGTAATAATGCGATAAGCAGCATTTTCGACATATCTTACTGTTTTACTACAGAATGGGTAAAAATGCTGTTCAAACTAGAAAGAAATTGACTGATGTGTTTGGAGAAGGTGTGTTGACAGTACGCCAGTGCCAGAACTGGTTCGCTAAATTTCGATCCGGAAATTTTGATGTCGAAGATGCACCACGTTTGAGAAGGCCGGTTGAAGCTGATAAAGACGCGATAAAGGCATAGGTTGATGTGAACCGGCGAATAACAACACGTGAGATCGGATTGAGGTTAAATTTATCAAATTCAACAGTTTATGACCACTTGAAAGGCCTGGGATTATCCTCGAAGCTCGATGTATGGGTTCCCCATGTTCACAGAGAGAAATCTGTGTCGCCGCATTGACGTCTGCGATTTGCTTCTCAAACGTCACGAAAATGATCCGTTTTTGAAGCGCATCATCACTGGGGACGAAAAATGGGTTGTATACGACAACGTCAAACGCAAGAGGTAATGGAGCAAAAAAGATGAACCGGCTCAAACCATTTCCAAAGCCGATATTCACCAAAAAAAGGTGATGCTGTCTGTTTGGTGGGATTTTAAAGGAATCGTTTTTTTTGAGCTTTTACCGGATAACACAACGATTAATTCGGAAGTCTACTGTCATCAGCTGGACAAACTGAATGATGCACTTCAACAGAAAAGGTCAGAACTAATCAACAGGAAAGGTGTAGTGTTTCACCAAGACAACGCGAGATCTCACACAAATTTGGTCACTCGCCAAAAGCTTTTACAGCTTGAATGGGATACAATGCTACACCCACCATATTCTCCAGACCGGGCACCATCGGATTACTATTTGTTCAGGTCACTCCAAAATTTTTTAGACGGTAAAACCTTCACCTCAAATGTGGAGGTCAAAAACCTCCTCGATCAGTAAAGACCAAAAATTTTATGAGCGTGGAATTATGCTACTACCAGAAAGATGGCAAAAGGTGTTGGACCAGAACGGTCAATATATAATTTAATAAAGTATTTGTTTATTATACGAAAACTGCCTTTCATTTCCACAAAAAAAAACGAAATGACTTGCCGAACAATAGAAAAGAGATGTTAGGTAGTTAAAGATATTATTCCAACCAGGCAGTTATAAAGCCAACCCTGATTTTTTCCATGCCTAAGCAACCTCTAGCCGCTGCACTGCTTTTATTGTTATTCGGTTGTCTCTTTTCACTTTGTGTATACTACTCATGAAGCATTTCCAAACTTAACAAGGGCGTATTCAAAACGCAGCAAATGACTACAGTCCCAACTGGAAACAAGAAAGAAGATACGCTCATTCTTATAAATAATTTATTGCGAATTATGCCAATTTTGAAAGTCTCAACTATAGTATCTTACGATATGGCGGTGCAAAACCCATATACACAGTTGATTCAAAAAGTTCCGAGACTTTTACGAAAGGAAACAGGAGTTTAGAAAGAGTTTATATTTAATTTAATTGCATTGAGTGACTTTTATGATAAAAATTGTAAAACAGGATCAAAGACTGGGCTGGCACAATGTCATGTAGAAGAAACCAATCACTAGTGCGGTAAAATACTCGTCAAAAGTCGACCCAGGGCATCTTTATAGAATTCGTTGTGGACAATCCCGCGGGAATAAAAAAAATAATAAATAGCGTTGATTATGGGTTTTATACAAAATTAGTCCCAGAACTTTTTGAATGAACAGTGTATGTACCTAGGTAGAGGTAATTTAAAATGCCTTGGGTTGCGCGATGAAAAAACTGCGCTTCACTGATTTCTATATTTTCATCATCTTTTTATCTGGAATTCCCTCCTTGGTTGTATAGCGAGGCACGTAGTTAGAATAAACAGAATAATCACCCAGTCAATGTTACTAAAATGTACAAAATGAATATGATAAAAGGCCTACCTCTCGCGCGTGAGCTGTAGTTACGAATTCTACGTGTGCGGTAGGCATGCCAAAGGGTTATAAAGGAAAAAATTAACGGCTGCTTCACAAGTATCATGGTACTTCCTGAGAATTGGTGGGATACAGTTCTTGAAAAGGTTCAAAATGAGAATTATTGAATTAACGCGTAATACGCGATGTTCAAAGGCGCAAAAGTATGAGAACCGTAACTGTGCATAAATCTAACGTAATGACATTGGATATATTTTAACTAATCCAAACCATGAAAACAAATAGTTGCTGCTTAAGATGTGCAAAAGACGACATAATTGAACCATTCGCTGCCATTAATTCCGGAAGTATTGTTGCCTTAAGCGTTTTATAATGCGACTCAATCGAGTGACGGTAAAGTTGAAAGTACGCCACTGGTTTGCGACGCTTCGTTGCCATCGACGACAGGCGTCGTCGTCGGCGTCGCTTTTCGTTCTCTCGGTCTACGTCAGTAGGTACAACATCATACATAGCTTTCACGCTCGCTCGCGACGCAAATAGCGTTCGTTCTCTCTTTTGTTGATTCTGTGCAACCAGTGAACTTGCTAAAGCGGCTCAAATTGCATTAGCCATTACATTACATGGAGAATTGAGGACGTACCGAGACGTGAAAGTGCGGAGTACGCGCAACGGGATGTTTCGCGTCGCGTCTAGTCGCGCTAGTTCGCAGTTACAACGAACAAAACACTGCGCTGACTGTTTCTGACTGAAATTATACCCATAGCATGTTGTAAAAAGGGAAAGCAATTTTTGGAAATATAAAATAATTCGAAGTGGTCTGTATTCTGTCGAAACTGCCAGACGCGGATCGCGATTTCGATCTTTTTGGATCTCATCAGCACGTCGCAGGCAGCTCCGACAGAACACAGACCAACCTTTACCTGCTGTCTTAACAGTGCGTTTTAGAAAATATTATAAATGGCGCAGTAAACGCCATCTGTAGCACGATGCTACATTTTACATTTTGGAAATATGTTGGAAATGATACCATGTTAAAAGAACTTGTGTTTGCCGTGAAATTACGAGCAGTTGGAGAAGTTAGAGATAGCTTTAAATAAAATGGAGGCGGTATTGACAAAATAGTACTGTATGAAAATAAATAAAACAACAATACTGGTATGTAAGGGAAGAAAAAGTAGAGAAAGAGCGAATATAGAGATAAGAGCAGCTGTTCAAAATGCAGTATTTGTAGTATTATTTTATAATAAAGAATCCTCTTTCAATATAAAACGTGTATAGATCTTAGACATTCCAATCATTTCATAATCTTAAGGCATCAGAAAGAGACTGATTAGACACACATCTCCACTATTTGAAATATGAAACCTCAATGAGATTCAAATTTTTGAATTTGATTATTTGCCGAAGTTCACTCCATTACCGTCTACAATCTGGCATCCTATTGTTGGTTGGTAAGATAGAGTCTTCTGACAGAAGAAGAGCAAAGAGCCACGTTACCTTTTAGTACGGAACCCTAAAAAGTAACTACCTGTTCTATAGAACAGTTTTATCCAACTCAAATCAATCAAAACGTAATAAATATAGGGACATGGGAGTCTCTTTGGGATTGAAAATTTTAAGTTTTATTGTTTTCCAAAATTCATGCCACTGCAATCCATAATTAGGTAAAGTTTCAATTGGCTTCCTCTTGTTACGTTACTGAGATATTACCTAGAGCCTTCTGACAGAATAAGAAGAAACAGCATAGGCTCCATATAAAAGTCGTGTTACCTTTAAAGACAGAACCTTAATAGTCAACTGTACACTTGTTCTAAACAACAGTTTTATCTGTCTCATTATCAATTAATTTAAAACGTAATAAGGACTTGTATATGTAGAGACATGGGAGTCTCGTCGAGATATAAAATTTTAAGTTTTATTGTTTACCAAAATTCATGTCACTACAGCCCATAATGTTGTAAAAGTAGGCTTCATCTTGTCACTGAGATATAACTTTCTGACAGAAGAAGATATATCATAATCTCCAGTAAATAGTGGCGTTACCTTTTGGTAGAGAATCCCAGAGGGTAACAACTTGTTCTAAAGAACAGTCTTATCCTACGCGTTATCAGTTAATGAAAAAGTACCCATTGTACCGAACGTTTAGAAAACCTTTGACAGTAAGCCTATTAGTGCATTAAAAGTTTTCGTACCTTTATGGGGCATCTTCCAGAAAGCCTCTGCACACGTGGATTCGCGTAAGGACAACGTTTTTGCGGCGTTTAGTACACTGGTAAAACCACCGCCCGGCGACGGGGCCGTAGGACCTGACGTGGCTCCCAGGTTGAAAAGCAAAGTTTAGCTTTGCCTCTGTAAAAAACAAGAAAATATATTAATGGGCATTAATTGCAACAAGAAAGTCAGAAACTTGAGTTTCATTTGATGGATTTAGTGTTCGACCAAAAAAACGTGTTTCGGTAAAAAAACGAGTTTCGGTTTCGGCGGCAAACCTGCCGAAACTACGACCGAAACCGAAACTGCGTTTACATTTTGTTTCTGTTGAAGTTTAGTGTCATTCAACATGACGAATTAAGTTTAGAAGAAGTTAATTTGTTCTTCATTAAGATAAAAGTGATTTATTTTGTTTTGTGTATTACTTAAATGTTAAGTTCCTATACCTATTGTGATATTAGGTAACAATAACAAAAGTAATTTTATGTTTAATATTATATAAAAAAAAGCATGAATAATCTTCGAAAGAAAAATGAGTCTAGTCTACTATACTTACTCAAATAAACATCTCACCTATTTTAAGTATTTTTAAGGCGCAATTAAAGTATTTCCTTAAATGAGGGGTTGATTTTGATTTGATTATCAATAAGTAAAAATGTCAAAGACTGCAGAGCTATGTGATTTAAAGATAAAAAAATAAAACTGACTGATTATAATAACGTTTTCTTTATTTTTCTCTCAAAACATGATCCTTATAAGGAAGTTTCGGTTTCGGTTTCGGTTTCGGCCGAAACTGAGACCGTTGCCGAAATTCGGTTTCGGTTTCGGTCGTAAAAACCAGTTTCGGTCGGACATTAGATGGATTTATTCAGTGTGTACCTACAACATATTCCTTACTACCTATAGTTCAATTGCTAAATTAAAGTAATCACTTTTTGATAATGGAAAGCAACACTAGATCTGGTAGGGTGAAGATAACAAAACTTTACGTAGGTATAATATTACGAACGTCTTATCATCCGAAAATCTGCTGGTTGGACGCTAATCAGAAGCATTATTAGCTGGAAACATCCAAAAATTTTTTGCTGTCATTTCCACCAGTTACTAATGCTGGTGGGCGGGCAGTCCCTCCGCATTATACGCCGAAAGGTAGGGCAGAATGCCTCCTTGAAGCTTCTTTTAGGAATCGTAAGAATGGGTGGATGGTGGATTGGAGTGAAAAAGATGAGGCGGACGAAATAAAAACAGAAGAGAGTGAATGTGTTGAGTATTACCAGTAAAAAAACACATTCTGATAATAGCCAAGAATAATAAAATGTATTGAATAAAACCATATGTACCGTTGTACAGAAGGCAGATCTGGAACTAATTTTTAAACTATATTTTAATCGTTGCAGTCCACCGCTACCATCTTGTGAACCTTCTTATTAGTCAAAACATCCGGTACACGAGCAAAAAGCGATAACACGATATAGGTACCTAACAAGAATAGAAATACATATTATTAATATTAATTTTTCTTTCTTTAATTAACTTTAACAGAAATATTATCTGTAAAGCATTATTGTTCCAGCGTTTGCCTGGGTGATCAAAAGAAACCATAGAAAAACTTGGACAAGGACAGACGCACCCGGAATCGAACTGGTGTTCATCCGAATTCTAACCCGACTAGAATTTATAAGGGGCATGACCCATGTATCGTTCGGGCTGGTGATACTAAAGTGAGGATTGCCTAATGGGTTTTTCATATGGGACTTAAGGGGCAAACGATCACATGTATAAACTTAAATCATATAAATCTACCTTATGGGGGTTCGATGAGGCAAATCTGTTTGAAAATACTATCGGTAAAATGAAAAACTTATAAGAACCGGTAACCTTGCTGAATTATGTCGTCGTTTCAATAAAATCTTTTACATTTGCAACTAACGAACAAGTGCACTTCTTCTTTTTGGACAACCTCATGGGGCCCACAAGAAGCAGTGTGGCTACCCACTTAGGAACCCTACCTGCACCCCTTCAAAATTCTAGTCGAGAATAAGCAATGGTCTAAACCACTAGGCCATGGCGATCGGTATGGTATAGGAAAATTCGAACAAATACCTTTAGCCAACTTTTCAAGTCCAATAAATGGAATTTAAAGCTTTTAGGCTGTTATACGCTTTGTTCAAAAGATTTGAAGAGTTTCAGTTCTTATCTTCGGTAAATGTATTGCTGTATGTATGTATGTATATAGTATGTATTTATTGTTAATATATTTATCAACTTTTTAAAGTTATTACATAATTTTTGTTTTACTTAAAAGGAAAAGTGAGAATCTTGTTAGCACTACAGGTACATGCACACAACAGGTAAACGAACGATTAATTCTTGTCACCCGGAAACAGTAGGTTTCACGCGCTTTCATTAGCTGTTGACCTCGTCGGCAGTTTGTAGATAGTTTTGACTTTTTTCTTTGACCGTTGATTTGTTTGCGGCACGTGAACATCATCCCGGTAAGTATCTGTTTGCGAAGGAACGCGCAGTGGTTGCCGCGTGGTCTACCAAGGTATACCGTTCCGATTGTCGATTGTTTGGATGTCTGATTGTCCACACCAATCGGACGCAATCAGCGGTACATCAGAACAATAGGCAGTCGCTGGACGTTTCGAATTTGTCTTCATTTACGTGTGCCACCCGATATGAACAATGGAACAGCTTGTCACGGTGATGCGGTCGATCCGTTGCATAGCTGCCTCTTCCGTAGCTCGATCCGCTCGTGTTATCGCGCCTGGCCATCTATCGGCCGGTTGCTGAACTTTTTTTAAGACTCACTATACATATGTACACTTACTCCTTTGATGAAGTGTAGTATCATGATAAAATAAGTGCGTGACGCGTTATTATACAGAATGAATTTTTGTGAACATTTTGAATTATAGAGGAAAACATCGAAAGGATTATTAAAAGGCAGAGATTTAATTTCTGGTTCTGAAAAATTATCTAATCTTGGATATTTCTTTTTATTCAATGTTTTCCAATTTTTAAGACTTCTTTTGTATCCAAGATTTACTCATTCACTATCATTTTCATCAGGTGATAAGCAAAGCAAAAACCTGACTGTCCTAGTCTTGGTATTGGTCTTGCTTATTCGATCTTGGTCTTGCTCAAATACTTTTAGTTTTGGTCTTGGTCTTACTGATATAGTCTCGATCATGATCTTGGCCTTCGTCTTACTGGTATGAAGATAGTCTTGGTTGCGAAAGTGCTAGACCAAGACCAACTTTGCTTATCACTATTTTCATCATAAAAACTCAAAACAAAGAACCAAGAAAGGGGATAAAGCAGCACCTTTTCATAAATATTGTCATCTATAGAATTTATATTGAAATTATTTGTAGAGGAACTATACATATACACATAAGTTCAGATTAAATAAACAATCCTCAAATAAATATTGATAGGCAACATACTTAAGTAAGGAACATATTTTTTATTTGATACTTTTATGCAAATATGTTATTTGAAATAATTAAATTTACTACTGTTTTTCCTATGTTTAGGTTAATTATTAACAATTGCTTGGCAATATTTAAAAGAGATATTTAATTGAATAAAGTAATTTTATCTTAGAAATAGATTTTTTTCCCTCTCAGTAGGTATGAAGGTGTAATGTGTTTCAGAACCGTTTTTGATTCCTGCACAGAAATGATTTATTGGGTAAAAAGAAATGTGAATGAAATTGAGGGTTTCAGAGAAACTATTTCTGCTGTTTTTTAATTTTATTTTTTTATTACAGGTATGTACCCTTTTTAACCATTGATGAGTATATATCTACAGGTAAGCCAGTTTAAACGAAAAAAAAATTGTAAAATGGAGCTAAAACCAGACATTATTGTCTACTTTTACGAAGACAGTACTAACTCAATTTTTTTTTATTAATAACTAATTTTTTTTAAGTACCTAAACATCTACCTATAGTAATTAAGTATCTACTATACTTTTATACTTACAGAATAACATAACATCTAATTGCAACATATTTTAATCGTTGCAGTCCACCGCTACCATCTTGTGAACCTTCTTATTAGTCAAAACATCCGGTACACGAGCAAAAAGCGATAACACGATATAGGTACCTAACAAGAATAGAAATACATATTATTAATATTAATTTTTCTTTCTTTAATTAACTTTAACAGAAATATTATCTGTAAAGCATTATTGTTCCAGCGTTTGCCTGGGTGATCAAAAGAAACCATAGAAAAACTTGGACAAGGACAGACGCACCCGGAATCGAACTGGTGTTCATCNTTTTAATAAATACGTAGGTAGTAAGTAATTATTAAGAATTGGCAAAATTGAGGCTGTACACCGTACAAGTCACTGCTTAATTATGTATATTAAAACAAAATACCACAATAAATATTATACTGTTATAAACGTATGTCTGTGGCGGCAAATCGATAGCGCGGCATCTTTTTACCCTAACGCGAAGATTCCGGAAGTAAATTAATTCGACGATCTTTTTCTTCTAGAAAACGTTGATGATTGACAATTACTTGCTTTTAGTCCAAAATAAAAATAAATTTTATGCTTCACGTCATTGGCAGGTCTTGTATGCCGAATTTTTTCAAAAAATAAAAGCAGCATTAGCCTGCTACAAATGATAAAATATTAGGTACAGTGAGCTTTAATGAATATAAAAAATTCTTTCTTTTTCCAATTATTAGCAACTACTAGCTAATTAACTAGCTAACTTCTGTTTAAATTCCATCTAACAAGCTCAATTAGTTATCGGTCAATGGATTATACTTTAATGAAATAAAATATTCACTTTTTATCTTTGTCTATTTATATGTTATATGTTAGATATTTTTTAAACAAACATGAAGACAAGTAAAAAGAAAATGTCCTTCACCAAATTGACCTCACACACTTATTAGTTGGACGAAATTCGCCTTACCTACACACTAAATATGAGTAAATATTCATCGCATTTGATTTGAACATTTATTTGGTCGTTTACGGAAATCGTCCCGTCGCAGTTTATGTAAGAGCCGTCACAGAAGGCTGTGTCGTCGTCAGTCGTCGTAACTAGAGAGACGCGGGCGGCTTGATACGACGTCGCGTCGGTGGCTAACGGCATCGGTGCCGTC